CACCTCTTGCATTGCCTCATTAAGCCTCCTTTGATGTTCTAAGGAAGGCCTTGCATCATACTCCAAGATAATTTTGTGCACGCAAAATGCGGGGCTTATTCCCCGAATGTCCGCCAGAGTCCATCCAATTGCCTTTTTCGCTTTTTAAGCACCGCCAATGTGGCATCTACCTGCATGTTAGTAAGGCAAGAGGAAAGAATAACTGGTAAAGTTGAATTAGAGCCCAAGAATTCATATTGAGGTGTAGAGGAAGTGACTTCAACTCCAACACCAGTGGCTCCTCAATTGATGGTTTGGTTGGTAGAGTTTTCCGATTTTCAAGATCCAAAGACAATTTTCTTGGCTTATAGGAATAAGAGCCCATCCCATGTAAAGCATTGACACACTCGACTCTGTTTGCATCATCAGTGACATCAAGATTTAAGAGCACTGCCTCAAGGGGATCCTCGACGTTAATCATAGAACTTGTGTCATCCACTATCACAACTGTGACAATGTCCACAAATGAGCACACCTCGGTGCTAGTGGGTTGCTTCATGGATTTGCAAACATGGAAGATGACCTTCTCATCACCCACTCGGAAAGTTAGTTCACCCGCTTCAACATCAACCAATGCCGTCCCCGTTGCAAGGAAAGGTCTCCATAGAATAATTGGGACCTCATAGTCCACCTCACAATCCAAAATCGCAAAGTCCGCTGGTAGGATAAATTTGTCCACCCGGACAAGCACATCATCAACTATACCCAAAGGACGCTTCATTGATCTATCTACCATCTGTAATCTCATGGAAGTTGGCCTTGGTGGCCCAATACCTAGAGTCTTGAAAACTGAGAAGGGCATTAGATTGATGTTTGCCCCAAGATCACATAAAGCTTTGGCAAAGTCTGCACTACCAATAGTGCAGGGGATAGTGAAAGCACCAGGATCCTCTAATTTCGGGGCCATTGAATGTACTATGGAACTAACTTGGTGGGTCATCTTGATAGTTTCACAGTCCATTGATCTTTTCTTTGTAACCAAATCTTTCATGAATTTAGCATAACCAGGCATTTGCTCCAAAGCCTCCACCAAAGGCACGTTGATGGATAAGCTCTTCATCATGTCAATGAACTTTTTGAATTGGTTGTCACTTTTCTGGTTGGCTAGCCTTTGAGGAAAGGGGAGAGGTGGTCTAGGCAAAGGTGCCTTGGCTTTTGGCACCACCGACTCCGGCATGTCAATTATGTGTTCCCTAAACGGGTTCACGGCTTCTTGAGTTTCCACCTCGGCCTCATTGATGTCAATCCTCACATCATTGTCACCTCATTCTCAACCACATCTTCAACTATCAAAGGTACATCATTTTCTCGCAACTCAACATCATCATCCACAACTTGCTTATCTTTCGAGGCATGCACACCACCGCCTCTCCCACTTCTTCTTGTAACCACCATCACATGATTGTTCCCACCCTTCGGGTTCACTACCGTATCACTTGATAGAGCACCCTTAGGGCGAGTATTTAACGATTGAGAGATTTGGCCTAATTTCACCTCCAAATTCCGGATAGAGGTATTGTGGGAAGCCAATTGAGCATCAGAATCTTGGTTCTTCTTCATCATTTGTTCGAACATCATTTCTATTCTTCCCATATCATTACCCGAAGAACTAGACCCTTGAGATTGAAACGGAGGCGGATTGTTCGGTTGTTGATACATTGGGGGCCTTTGAAAACCTTGCCCCCGGTTGCCTTGATTTCCATTGTTATTCCACCCTCCTTGAACATTGTTGTTATTCCAATTGTCGTCGTTGTTATTCCCATTCCAATTCCCTTGGTTGCCCGAATTGTTGTTCCCCCAATTACCGCCTTGGTTGTTGTTGTTCCAATTACCACCACCTTGTTGATTGCCCCAATTTCCTTGGGGTCGCCATTGTTAATTTGAAGAGTTGCCTCGATTGCCTTGATAGTTATTGACATATTGAACCTCTTCGCTTTGCTCATCATAACACTCATTTGAAAAACTACCGCCATCATTGTTGTCATATTGTTCATAATTCCCTTGAGATTGTTGCCCTCTTTGCCTCCTTTTAAGCATATTCACTCCCTCCATAGCGTTGACTTGGCGAGGATTTTGAACTTGTTGCAATTGCGCCTTCGCCAATTGATTCATAGTAGTAGTGAGCTCGGCAATGGCTTGACCGTGATCATACAATTCCTTGTGCAAATGGATGACCGTGGGGTCACCTTGGGGCACATTCGCTCTACTTTGCCAAGCCGAAGAAGTGCCGGCCATTTCGTCCAAAATATCACAAGCTTCATTGTAGGGGAGCTTCATAAAGTTACCTCCGGCTAATTGGTTCACAATGCATTGATTAGTGGTGTTGATTCCCCGATAGAAGGTTTGTTGGATCATATTCTCCGTCATGTCATTATTTGGGCATTCTTTCACCATTGTTCTAAACCGCTCCCAAATCTCATGCAAAGGTTCTGTGGGTTCTTGCTTGAAAGCTAATATCTCATCTCGAAGTGCCGCCATATGCCCGGGTGAGAAGAATTTAGCAATAAATTTATCTGCTAACTCATCCCAAGTTGTGATGGAATGATCGGGGAGTCTCTCTAACCAATCCAATGCCTTTCCCCGAAGTGAGAATGGGAAAAGTCTCAACCTAAGAGCATCTTCGGACACATTCGTCTGTTTGCTACCCCAACATGTATCCAGGAACCCTTTTAGATATTTGTAGGCATTTTGATCTGCAGCTCCCGTGAAGTACCCACGCTGCTCAAGTAAGGTCAACATCACATTAGTTATCTGAAAATTGCCTGCCCGGATTCTGGGTGGGACATTAGCACTTGCATATCCTTGGTTCGGTAGCACCCGAGGAATTGCTCTTGGAGGTGGCGGAGGACGGTCTGGAATGTTGTCATTAGCATTGGCCTGGCGGCCTCGTCTTGGTCTGGGAGGTACAAAAGGCACCTCATCGTCTCCAATATCCTCAACCTCTTCCCCCGCAAGCACATTTCCAAGAGGGTCGTTTGCATTTAAAGCCATTTTGGTACCTGTAGTAATCACACACACAAATTAGTAACAAAGAAGGAAAGAAGAACAACACACAAAACTAACTAAATAGATAGCCAAAACCGTTAGATCCCCGGCAACGCGCCAAAAAGTGAACGCTGTCAACTCCACACTACTATAAAGTAGGAAGAGAGGGTCGCAATAGCTTTTACCCGATATGAGGATCGGGATCGAATTCCTCAGAGAGCTAGAAATTGGAGCTGGGTATCTATCTAGACTAAAGTCGTGTAGTTGTTCTAAATGTCACTTCCAACATTTTTGGGTTTTTCAATTATAAACTACTATTATCAAACTACTAATTTAAACTAGATTATGCTAAGAAATAATTGCTAAGGTTGTATCTAATGGGGAGAAAGGCACTAGGGTCGTGACATCACCTAGGTGGTTAATTGACGGGTAGATGTTACCAAGGTTCAATTGACATAATTGGGGCTTATACTATAACCGTCGCACAATTTTTAGCAGGAGATAATAGTCTGTGCCCGCTGAATAATACGAGTAACACCTCATCTCGAGGGAGTTACGAAGTATTATTTATGTTGCACGGGGTGCTCCTTTAAGCTAAAAAACTTAGGATCCCGCTCTCATTTGTCCTTCAAATATTTATTCACGTTTAGTAATTTCTTGTTTCTTAGCTTTGATCACATAGACTAATTCATATAATTGAGTTCGGCCAGCACCCACAGTTGTGGACCTCGAGGAGTGCCTAACACCTTCTCGTCGAGGTAATTTCGAGCCCTTACCCGATCTTTGGTGATGCAAACTAGTCAAATAGAGTTATCTACAAATAGGTTCCCTCACGCACCTTAATCCGTTAGGTGTCGACTCTCTCTTTTAGAAGCCTTCCTTTAAAAGAGTTGTCACGTGTCGAAACCCGATTTCGCGAGAAAAAGGGGCGCGACAGGCAGAAAGTTTTTTAAGTGATGTTGAGACATGGTAAGCTATCTGTACGGTTGAATCTTGATATAAACCCAGTATCCCACTTAAAACTGCCTGTCAGTCCTGTGCTTATTAGCCTGGTCTGTCATTCGTTGTTGTGCTTGGTCTAAATGATACTTAAGCAACTGGAACTGGAATTCCCTAGTAATCAAGCTCCTATCTACCTTTTCCAGCTCAGAATCTCCAGCCATGTAAGGAAGGTGCAAAGGGGGAGGCTGCCCATATAAGCCTCATAAGGGGTAGTATGAATAGAGGAGTAAAAGATAGTATTATACCATCATTCAGCAAAAAGTAGATACTATGCCCAATCAGTCGGTGAATCAGAACTATAACACCTCAGATAAGTTTCGAGGCATCGATTGACCACCTCTGTCTAACCATCGAATTGTGGATGGTAGGCAGTGGATGTGTTCAATGTCACTCCCTATATTGCAAACACTTCCCTCCAAATTTTACTTGTAAATATAAGGTCCCTTTCACTGATTATCTCTGCAGGCATACCATGTAATCTGAAAATATTTCCACAAACAACTTAGCTATGTCACCAGTTGAATAGGGGTGTCACAATGCTATGAAATGGTTATACTTTGTGAGCCTATCCACTACCACCCAAAATACTGATTTGCCCTTAGATTTAGGCAATAACTCAATGAAATCCATACTAATACTGGCCCATGCCACTGTGAGCACCTAATTTTTTACCATACTTAAAAAATTTATCACTTTTTTAGTGTTTAATATTCGTCAATTTTAATCTTGATATTTTAGACTTTATTTAACTTTTTCGTAGGTTCATTTAATAAAATTGAAAACTATAAATAAATAGTCACACTTTTGGAATATTAATTTTACTTGAAAAAAAAAAAGAATCTACAAAAGAGAAAGAGAATATCACGTTTTTTGCATATAATAATCTTTTAGAATACATCATTTTTTGGTTTTATTTCTTTTAGTTTTTGTGTTGTTCTTATGTTGAAAGATTTTGGCAAATGAACTGGCGAAGCGCGCGTTAGCTGTGAGGAAACATTTATTGTCCTCCAATTCACCCACTTCACACCATCTAATACATACACAGATCGAAAATTTAAAATAAAACCACTCTACACAGATCGTATAAGACGTCACGCACATAACACCTACAGGACACACACTCACGAATACACACACGAAAGGGGGAAGGGAAATAATAGATCTGGGAATAGGGAAAAACAAACAGAAAACAGAGAGGAAAGGGACGAGAGCACAAAATTTTGGATGTGAGCCGCGAAGGAAAAACGCAGCTGCACCTTTTTCTTCAAACCTCAATTAAAGAGCTCTAAAGCTAACCATGAAAACTTTGGCATAAAGCCAATAAAACATCACCCCAAAGACCATCTTCTTTCTTCTACTTCTAGCCATGTAAGAGCTCCAAAAGACCAAATATTTTTACCTCAAAATGCAGCTGAAAAGCTGCTAAAAAAGCAAAAAAAAAAAAAAAAAAAAAAAAAAAAAAAAAAAAAAAAAAAAAAAAAAAAAAAAAAAAAAAAAAAAAAAAAAAAAAAAAAAAAAATAGCTCTCAAACCCAGGCAAAACTCAGCTGAAAAATAGCACCAAACAGTCCCAAAATCAGCTTCAAAAACAGTTCATAAACCACCCGGAAACACCTCTATAAGACCACCAAAATCCCAGCCGAATACTCCAGCTCAAATCTGTTCCAAAATACTTCATAAACATCACAAAAACCAACCAGAACTGACGCTAAAGAGTCTTGAAATCAGCTGTAAAACACCTATCCATTCCGGCCAAAAACAGCCGAGTGACCAAATTTCGTCAAAGATCCGGCGAGGCTTTTATGTCAAGGTTCTAATTTGTAGCTTCAGTTTTCAGCCTGACGGTCTTTTCTCTGTTTAGTCCGATTGATTTGCAAATTTTTGACTTTGTTCATCAATAAAAGGTGTGCTTCTCAATTTTCCATTGTTATTTCACTTTGTTACAATAGCTTGGTGAACCTTTTGACTGATTTGTGATTTTCCTTTATTTGAATTGGTTTATCTATTTTGTGATGTGTGTAATCTCTATTCTTGAATAAATACTTTAAATTGTTAGATGATTTAAATCGGCAAATCAGTGGAATATTTTAGAGTGTTTAGTGGACTACTAGAATTAGTTCTTCACAATAAGGATTGGTTTGGACCTTTTTGGATAATTCTGGGCCCTAATATGCTGAAATTATGTCAAGCCCGCTTCATAAAAATTAGCATTTGTGATGATCTTGTTTTTCTCCTCTAAACAAATAGCCCAAAGGTAAATAACATACTGGCCCTTTCTTCTCCAAAGTTACAAGCTAGCCCACCTTTACAACACCTTTTATTTTACAACAAACAATTCCATAATTCATAACATTACAATAATCTCAAAGTAGTTTAATAAAATAACTCATGAACACGGTAGTATGCTTTAGGCACGCTTTTAATTAATCAAATTATTGTGATTATGTATATTTTCGCGTGACATAAATTACGAGTTTCAAAATTAAAATCAAAGTATGCGTTCGCGCAACTTTGGGCAAAACAATCTTAATAATAATAAGTGTTATTAGTTGTGTACACGTATGCGTGACATGATTTTTAGCGCACTAAATAAAACGAATTTACACATATGTGATCTGTTTCGAAAATACATCCATAAGTGCCAAATTAAAAGCGGTAAAAGGTTAAATACACATAGGTTCTAAAAATACGTAATTAAACAAATTAATTAAGCCAAGTATGATTAAAATGATCGTACTAAAACCACGGAACTCGGGAGTGCCTCACACCTTCTCTTGGGTTAACAGAATTCCTTACCCGGTCTTCTGTGTTAGCGTACCATAATTCGGAGTCAAAACTTTCCTCGATTAGGAATTTAAAAATTGGTGACTTGGAACACCTAAAAAACTCCATTCCAAGTGGTGACTCTTTAAAATTAAATAAAATTGATCCCTTTTCGAATAATGTCACTCTAATTAAAAAAATTCCTTAATCTTCGGAAAAAGGAGGTGTGACAGCTCTGGCAACTCTGCTGGGGATCAAACCCAGAATCTCTGGTTATGGGTTCAGAATTCGAGCTTGTAATACGATCTATACTTGGTTTTCTTGATTATTGATATTACTGTATTGTGGGCCTAATGTGATAATTGTTGTTCATTTACCGCTTTGCTATTATTTGAACTGTATAAACTGTCTTCTTACGCCTCCCTTTTGAGTCTTCTAAAACTATGGTGCACAGGTACGCGTGGCCCACTTTTTGTGTTAGAGGTCATACCAAATGAAACGAGGGTGGATCAGCAACTAGGCCAGGTAGACTTTCGTACTCCCGGTACATTGCCCCCACCTCGGCTCGAGCTGTCCGTTTGGGTAAGCCAGGTCTAAAACGCCCCCCCCAGGATTTAAACCTANCGAACCCCCCCCACCCCCCCCCCCAGGATTTTAAACCTAGAATAACATAGCCTCATGTCAGATCCCTAGTAGGTACGTTTATTTGCATCACGTGCATTTGACTTAGGAGACTCAACACAAGTTTGGGTCCGTCAAGGACAAGTGTACCCAGAATTTAAAAAGACCATCATGATGCATCTTATGTGCTAGCTGTGCATTTTGTTGATTCCGTTTTACAAGTTGACTGGCTTCTAGAATAAAAGAAAGAAATGAGAAAAACCAAGAGGAGAGAAAATAAGAGAGTTTATTCCAATTTTTCTTTTTGAAAAATAGACTGAGATTTCAAAATATTCCCCGCTTCTGGGCGAAATACACAGGTCTGATTTTCACCGGATGTGAGATACGTAGGCAAACCTCATCGAATACGGAGCCTACAATTTTTGTAAAAGAATATCCAAAAATATTTTCCTTTATTTCATTATTTAGAAAAGTCTTTTTTGAGACCCCAATTTTTAAAAATCCATTTTTTTTAAAGTTTTTCTCAAAATCCAAAAATATTTTCGTTCCTCTTCATAAGTTTTTCTTTCGAAAGTCGAAAAGAAAATTCGAGATTCAAAAATATATATTTTTTCTTTAGAAGTCTTTCTTTCATAAATTCAAAACAAAATTTCAAGAATATTTCCATTCTTCTTTAGAAGTTTTTCTTTCGAAATTCCCAAAATAAATCGAAACCAAAAAATATTTTCTTTATCTTTATAAGTCTTTCATTCAAAAATTAAAAAAAATAATTCAAAATCCAAAAAAAAGAGTTAGTTTATTTACTTTATTCTTGATCTTCCCGAACTACGCATGATCTGATTCATGCTTTCACATGATATGTAGGCAACCCACAATCAGGTTCGATTGACCATTTAAAAAAAACCTTGATAATAATTGACTGAGCCATTCTAACGTGTTCTTTGTTTTGAATGGTAAAGAAATTTTGAGGTGGTCGGTTTGTGGTAAGCTGACAACACAAGATCCAAGGAAAAAAAAAGACAACTGACATCGAAGCTGTTACGAGTGCTCAAGGGGCTCAGGGTCAGAGGGTTCAACAAGAGTCTACTGTGGTTGAGGAAAATAGAATATTGAAACAGCAAAAGACTGTAATGTGTCAACAATGGGCCAATGGCCAAGGACCACCCTTTTTTATTCATGGTTTCCCAGAGTTCACATCCATCTCGACTACTACCACTCCGATATGATTGTCTGATCAATCATATCCACCTGGGTTCAGTCTTTATCCCAACTATACAACTATAGTTGGAACTTCTGTTGCACGCTCCCAAAGGTACCATTGACAACCAATCAGACAACCACTATTGCTATGCCCGTCTTCACAATCCCAAAGCCGACAATGGTACAAAAGAAAAGTCACGAGTCACAATTTGCTACCCAGTAAGGACAGTACCACTCTCCTGAGTACCAACATACCTATTTGATCTTCCTACAAAGATTAAGAAGCCTGCACGAAAGATGGCACAGGAAGAAATGGCCCAAAAATGAAACTCTTAGAACAATAACTGAGAAACATGCAAGGGTTAGCAGGTTAGAAGAGTATTGCCTTCAAAGATCTATATATGTTCCCTGATGTTCGTTTGCCATTGGCTTCATGTCATGACCCAAACTGAAGGGCCACGAGGGCCACCCGACACCATACTCAACCGAGTACCAGCGTAACAAATCTTTCTTATCGTACTATCATGGGTAGATGGGCCAAATGGGCCATCATGAGATAACCAGAATGAAATATAAGGGAATACTAGACATAGGATGACACAACATGATATAAAAACTTATATATAGGACATGCGGGCCTATAAGGACGACATGATCATTTGTAAACTCAAGAACATAGGCCGAGAAGGCCGTACAAGTATCCATATACCTGACATCTGTCTATAAGCCTCTAAGAGTACATAAACGTCATAAAGGTCGAGACAGAGCCCCGCCATACCAGTCAATACATGTCCAAATAGGCAACTCTGGAGCAAGTGGAGTGCACCAACACCTTCCGCTAAGCTGATAGCCTACTAGGAGGACTCTCAACCTGTCTATCGGGACCTGCGGGCATGAAACGCAGTGTCCCCAGGCAAAAGGGACGTCAGTACAAATAAAGTACCGTAGTATGTAAGGCATGAAAGTAGTATATAAAAGACATGAAAAAAACATAGAGTAAAGAACTCAACCTGTAATTCTGAATAGCCCTGTGAATCATGAAAAATTTATAATGCCATGCATGTGTGTATAAATGTCATACCATGCATAGGTATATGCATACAAAACATCATCAAGCCTCTGAGGGCATCCCATCATATCATCTCGGCCACTGTGGGCTAAATCATCAACGTATACCAGCTGATCAGGTGCTGATGCGTATATAGCTCCACAACCTTTCCCAATTCCCATATGCATATAATATATATGTATATAATGCCATCTAGTCATGGGTCAATATACATGTATAAATGAATGCAATGCATAATGAAGTAAGTCAGTAAGATTTCTTGGGATGTCATAAGATGAATATATCTTCGGATAAACTTTACCAACTTATGTATTTTCTAAGACCCATGAACAGATGATATAATAATAGGACACATGGGGAATCAAGAATATGCACCCCTATTACTTTTATCAATAGAGTCATTTATGAAAGTTCCGCGTTTGCGCATTTCGTTTGTATCATATGGATCATGCCAAAAGGGAAGAATGGATAGCCTTAACATACCTTAACTCCATTGAGTCCTTCATACCTTTCAAGCAATTCCTCAAACTACTCAACTAAATCTACCATAGCATGAGGAGATTCAAAATCAGTGTTGAGTAAAGGCTAAGTCCGTAACTTAAACTAGTAGCTCGTTTATGTAAATTTGGGCAGCATCTCCCCCGTAACAAGAGCCTCCTCCAATACCATATAACGACAACAATGACAATAGAAATCCATCAATACATAATTATCAATAACAAGATACCGTAAAACAACAAGTCACAACTACTTCACGACGAGCGGCAAGCTCCAATTGTAATTCGTATACCCCATATTACCCGTTATAGACTTCTTAATTCAACTTAATAGTATCATTAACATGATAATGACTCAATTCATCAATGGTTACATCCTTATACCATATATTTATAACAAGGAAAACAATCCACAACTCCAATTATCCTCAATTAGCAACTTTATTCACTAGTTCACGTCTAGTCCATCCATTTAACTTAATCAATTTCAAGATAACCTTAAGAACATGCAAGAACACATTGTAATAACCTCCTACAATGTATTTAAGTCGAAATCCAAGTTATATTTAGCTTAAAACAACCTAATACACCCCAATCACTTCATACCCAAAACAACAACTAGAGTAGTGTCAAACACCCCGAAAATGTTACAAAGAACGACTAATCCACCATTTCGCCGTTATGTGGTGATTATCCACGCCATTTATCCTCAAAAACTCCATTAAACAGCTGCAAAATAGACATCCCAAAAGTAACACAAAACAGCCCACAAAACAGTCCACTACAAGTCGAATAATTCAAACTCACGATTTCGGATCACCGTCCCGTGAGTTCTAACTATTAGGAAACAAATTTATTAACCTTTCTTGAAATTTAAAAGCTTATATACAGAAAGTATGTGTTTTCCTAAATATGAAGTACTTTCCGAAACTCAAACTACAAAGGAAAAGCGAGGTGGCATAGTGATACTTACGTCGTAGGGATCGTTCTAATGTTATCGCTTCTTGATTTCGTACCCAGGATGTAAATCTTCTTTGAAACCCTAGAATAGAGATTAAGGGAGAACTTATGGGGGCTCTCTGGTCGTTTTCTATGAAAAATGAAGAGAAAGATGAGTTAAAACCTATATATATATATATATATATCAACTTTTAAAAAGTCAAAGAGGTACTGGCTTGGCACCCAAGGATTGGCCCATCTTCCGACGCTTATATCATTTTATCCGGATGTCATAGGAATCAACGGTTAAGAGCGTTGAACTAAATTCCACAACCTTCTATTTGGTATATAATATGTCCCAAAAAGACCTCATATAACACACGAAATGTATTTCTCAAAAGCTTTAGTAACACACCTACTTGTCACCTATAAAGTCTGCGCAGTCTCGTAAAAATATAAATATCTCTTTACTCCGACGTCGCATCGACAAACGATATAATGTGTTAGAAAATAGACTCGTTCATATTCAATTTGATATGTGGATCATCCCGTAATTCCATGTATATTGGGTGAAAAGCGCCACTACATTTGACGTAATTTCAGCACATTTGTGAGTGTAACTTGTGATGGCCTTTGCCAACTTTTGTTCCACAACTTGCTCGACTTCAAAACGTAGCACACAACTATCATACGACTAAAATAACATATAGAATAAACTCCTTATCATATTAAGAACCCTAGTATCACTCCAAACTACATGTTATAACATTCCAAACTTCTCGACGTTCGACAAAACATATTTTCTTCAATTGGTTTAACTGATATGCTTTCCAACCCTCTTGGTACTCGTTATTCATCATCTTAAATATTTGTAACCTCCAAGGTAACATGATTAAATTATTTTATGTACTTTCGAAGACGATCTCATTTCTGAGCTTATATCAATTGACTTACAAATACTCTCACGTACGAAAATATGGGGTGTAACATCATTCCCCCCTTTGGAACATTTGTCCTCGAATGTTGACAGATGCACCTATCGGTCTCGTAACCTATAGATCTTACGAATACTTAAATACTGTCCTTGCTATCTGGACAACTGTTCTGTAAATAAATCTAAAGTCCAGGGCATTCCCCCTTCAGGATCTTTCTCACACCACGATTTGAGGATGGAATTCTTCAAATATCGTGCTACCTTCTATCATGCAGCCTGTATGACTCTGACCTTGTAAGTGCGCCTATGCAACTCTTATCTC